AGCAAAAGAAATAAAAAGATCCAACCACTCCAAGAATTCCTGATGCTTGCCCTTCCTTCTATCCATTGAAAGATTTGAGATCAATAATGTTGCTACACTGGCTCAAATTTCAAATACCCCCTTTCCTCTGAGACCAACTGCAAAAACAGTTTAATCAGTTAGATTTGTGTGTGCATTGCATACAGATGGGTAACATTTTAACTAATTAATGGTGAGACCTACCTGAATTAGTATGTTAACCACCCTCAAAAACCTAGGAGACTTAGAGTACTTGAGTCTTAAAAAAAATGAATTAGAAAACGTGGAGTTGCATAACAATTAGGTGTTGAAATTTAAGGGTTGTGCATGAGAAAAGCATACTGTCCCTTCAGCAGAAGCATCTGTAGTGTAATTTATTCATTGTTAGCTTAGATTAACAATACAAAAACGGGTCCAGACCTTACACATGAAAATGGAAGCTGCAGGAGTGCTGAGAACACTGAGTGTCCTGAGGTAGCTCACAAATTTAATTAAGGCTGCAGTCATGTTTATTACTACATTTGGCTGCCACACACCAAAAACTTCCAAGTGATCTATTCAGGTAATTTCATTTTATTCTTGCATAAATCACATTGACTTCATTTAGTTTCTTACCCTATTGTTGGGTTGATGTTGGGATCAAAGCTGTCTTCGACAAATCTCCACACAATACTTGATTTGCCCACACCAGTGTCCTAAAAAAAGAACAGAAACAGTTGAAAGTGGTATTAATTACCATAAACAGATTATTCTTTTTGCTCTCAAATCCTGCAGTACGCTGCCATAATAACACATTCCTGCAGAGAATCTCCAAGAAGTTGTGAAATACTTCAGGTATTATATTAATTAAGTAGAAAATGAAAGGTCTGTGACAAGTTACAGTTTTTAAAACAAAACTGTTAAGATTTTTTTTGAAGGACCACAAAAAAATCTGCATTCACACTTATTATTACTCAAACTTCGGGCTTTTTTACAAAGGCAGGCACATCTTGCAATGGAACAGCAGTGAGAAAAGATCACTTTTTGTAAAATATACAGCAATTGAATACAGCTTGCCAGGATGGAGGACCAATGGAGCACATGAAATTATACAAGTGTGACACACGCATTCAACTTCTGACTAATGCTGTCCCACCCTGCTTAATGAAAGACTTGAAATTTCTTGTGACACACCTGAAACATGTTACTAATGCAACTCCACGGTGCTAAAAATGGTGAAAGAGGAAACGAAAAGCAAAAATTCTGGATTGTGTATATTTTTGCACCACTGAATCCACAGTTAAAAAGCAAAAGATATTACAGAAGTTACTTTTAGAAGTGAAATAAACTCTTAGTGATAAAACACTTCTCAGTAGAAGCTGGACATTTGTAATTGTATTTCAATTAAGACATGTGAAGACAAACTTTTTGTATTACATTTCCTGAGTCATTAAAACTTTAAAGAATAAACCCTTGAGGAATGGCTTCACTGAAAATGAAGTTTTACATCATTCAGTTATTTTTTATCTTCAAAACTCCTGAGTATTACAGTAATTTAGGCACACTACATATGATTGTGTTCATCCTGCCCAAGCTATTCTCCTCTTGAGAAAGAGCACATTATCATAGCTCTGCATTTTATACTGTTTGCAGTCTCATTAACCAGAGCAAATCTCAAAAAAGAGAAACACAGATGTGGTTCGTGGTTCAGGGAGTTCAAGGCCAAGTTCTCCTAAGTATTTATTCTCCTTTTCTTCCATGACAAAAGGTTTCTCAGGCCATGTGAACACAAACAGTAGTTACCCCAAATACCTTCGTAACAGGGAGGCCACACAAACACATAATCTTCCCCTCTGAAGGGCAATGTGGCCATTTAGAAGCAGAAAACAACTCAGAACAGCAGAGGGTTTCGATGCCGGCGGTGACACCTCTACCTGTTCAACGTAGGGTTCTCAGACCAAGCCAGCACAGTTTCATACCTTTCAATTTTTAAACTTCTGCTTTGCTTTGCTTCGCTTCGCTCCCTGTCTCCTCCTTCCACCACCTGCAAGACTTTCCTACATCTGTTCTTAACAATATAAGTTCAGGCCCCTCCCTCTCTCCCACCAGCTTGATTTCAGGTGCTTCTATTTATTTTGTGGACTCCAAGCCCGAAAGAGCCTGGGAGGAAGAGAGAAGCACACATTGGACATTCGTGTTTCCCCTGTTATTTTTTTTAAGAGGTGAATAGGTTAGAAAAGGAGCGATATTGGCTCCTAGCAGACACCTCCACCGCGGAGGGGAAGGCGCGTCCAGCCGGTCCCTCAGGACGGGCCGAGGCCCCCCTGCAGCCGGGGAGAGCTCCCCGCTCTCGGTGCCTCTCCAGGCTCTCACAGGAGCTCTCCGCCATCGCCACACAGCCTCTCCAGCCGCTGACAGAGGCTCTCCGCCATCACCAGCGGCTTCCCGGAGCTCTGACAAGAGGCTCCCCGCCACCACAGAGCCTCTCCTGCCGGCCCCTCATTCCGCTCCCACCCTCCCTCCCGCCGCCCGGCACTTACCCCCAGAAGGCAAACTTTCAGCTCCCTTAGAGCCATGGCCGGGCGAGCAGCGCCTTCAGCGAGCGCCTGAGACGCGGCCCAGCACGATCATCGCCGTCCCCGCGGCGGCCGCCCCCCGCCCGCCCTGGTTACCCGCACACCGCGCTCCTCCTCAGGCTGCGCGGACGCGCCGCCATCTTGGGCGGCCGCCGGAGTCCCCACCCGCGTCCCCCGCTCGCTGTTGTCCCCCTCAGGTGCTGAGGGGCCGCTCGACCCCCGGCAGCCGCCGCTCCTTCACCCGGTGGCGTTTCGGGGCTGACCCGGCGGCAGGAAGCACCCGCGGCTCCTCCCTGTGCCCTCCCGCTCCTCCTCCTCGCCCATGTCCATTCCAAGATGGCCGGTAAGTGGGGCCGGCGGGCGGGCGGCTCAGCCGGGGCTGCCGCCGTCCCTCCGAAACCAACCCCCTGGTATCTCTCTTCTGTTTTTTGTTTGTAGGGATCCCTTTGTATTTTGTGGATTTGCAGGATGACTTAGATGATTGTGAGTAACTGTTTTTTATTTTTCCGCTCCCTGTTCAGGCCCGCTCTCCCACCCCGGGGTCCTCCTGTCGCCCTCTTTCCCTCTCCGCATTTTCACCCCGGTGAGGCCGAGGGGAGGATTTTGAGGCAGTTCTGGCAGGTGAAGGTTTCCAGGGAGCTGGGACCATCCCCGCTGGGCTCGGTGCAAAGAGCAGCTCCAGCAGCTCCTGAGCCAGTGAAAGGGGATGTGGGGATCAGCCCCGCTCCTGTTGTCAGTAGGAATAAAGATGATTAACCTAGGGATTACTCAGCCGAGGTGAGACCTTCCAGAGCGGTAGAGGCTGTGAGAACGCGTGTTCCGCTGCTTCCGCATCCCGGGGATGTGCTGTGAGCGCACCTCGGGATGGAGGGAGGATCGCCGTGTGAGCTCCGCTTGGATCGCACAAACCGGCGGGTTCGGGTTGAGTACCGAGCCCCGTCCCGGAGCAGGGAACAGCTCCATCACACACCGGGGTAGTCCAGGGCTGTGCTCCAGAAGAGCTGGACACCTGTCAGACATGGACCAGCCTAGTAAGCGCTGTGATTTCAGGAGATAAAGCTTTGGCTAACAGTGATACGAACTTCTGTTGCCTTCGAAAGCAGCTCTCTCTGTGGGGTGTCTTCATTGTCGCGTTGGATGCTGGGCTGACTTTTCTATTAAGAAAGAAAAATGATACTTGTATTCGTTTCTTGTGAGAAACTTCATTTGTTTCTCACAAGACCTTTATTGTTCGATACAGCTTGGAAATGTGAAACAGGTGGACCAATCCCACCCACCTTCTCAGCTGAGCGTGAGAAAGCTGATTTAGGAGAAAGGTGGTCTTCGGGAACACCAGGGGAAATGTTGGAATACAACTGGGATTTAAAGTCTTCCGTTTGGAAGATGTGCAGGGACGTTTCCTCTGTGGGAGGAGCTGGTTCTGTGGAATTCTCTTAGTTGTTGCTCTCAGTCTTTGAGGTTTCTGCTTTTCCCTAGTAGACAGCAGTGTGTAAAGTGTGAGAAGAAGATATAAGTGCAAACTTCATAGTAGTTTTCTTATGGGTTTTGGCCTTGGACCATCCCTGGAAGTATTTGTTCCCCATTAGCGTTCACTCCTTCACTGTTCTGTTTAGACTGTAACAGACTTGTCTGCTAAGTTGATTAAGAAGCTTGATGCTTGTAAGGCAAAGCTTGAGTAAATAAAAATGTCCAGATAAAGACAGTTTTGCCATAAGTGGTAATTCATAAAAGAATCTATCCGTTTCAGGATGAACATGTAAATAAATGTACCTTTTAGAGCTTTATTAATATCTAATTCTGTGATTTAAAAATATTCTTTGATTACGTGAATTAACTTGACAATACCTTAAGAACTATGGAATCTAAAGCTCCCTGTTGTAGTGGAGTTCAGGTGTCCCATGACTGAGATACTGTTGTGCTAATCCAGAGACTAGGCTAGCAAAGAGTTCAGACTGTTTTAGGAAAACCTCAGTTAAATAAATCACTGGAACTGGATTCTTGCTTATTAAGTAAATTGGTAAAATAGTGTCATGCACACTGAAGATCGATTGTGTTGAATCAAGGAGTCTAGGAGCTTATTCTGAATGTGGGAAAAAGCTGTAGTACAATCTGGCTAAATTCAAGTGCAGCTTAAAACTTGTTTTTTCATAAGATAATGGGTCATCTGGAAGAAATAATTAGCTGATTTATGCCCTTTGTGCAATTAATAAGAAACTATTTAAAGAATTTGTTTTTCCTTCTACAAACACCAGGAGGGAAAATTACCTTCTTGAGCTGATTAAACTGTTGTGCTGGGTGCTGGTATTTACTGGTTTGTGCCGTGAAATGTGAATAGTGACACTGGATGTTGACATTGAATTGCTCCACTGGGTCCTGTGACCCTGAGTTTCTCACACCTCTGAGCAGCTTTTGAGCCCAGTGAACTCCAGTTCAGCTGTGAATACTGTCACATTTATTTCTGTTTATAGGTGAACAGATTTCAAGCTCACTTGTTTGATCTAGCCAGAGGGAAAAATGCTGAATATTAGATGTACCTGTGAAAGAACATGAGATAAGAAATACTAGTTCAGTATTTGGGATTTACTTTGCAGTACTTGGTGTATTCTGAAACTTCTGAGTACCCCTGGTGTCCTATTTTATGGAAAAAGAAAACTAAAATTCTTGAGAGAAGGCAAAATGGATTCTGCCATGATTATTCCTTACTTGTGTGTAGTGACTGTGTGGAAAAAATTTCAGGTATTTAACTCTCAATCCTGAGCATAAGTAGTGGTGCTCTGTTTTCTCTCTGCTCTTGGAAGCACTGGTGTGTGCTTAAGTACTTTAAATGAATAATGGGGCTACTCCATGCAGTAAAATTAAACATGTACATCATGTTTACATAATTAGTCCCAGGTGTGGTTTTGTAGTCAAAGTTAAAACTGGGATTTATTCCGTTAACATTTGAATTGGTAGAAATTCTGAACTATTTGAACTAATAGCTTTAATTGTTAAAATGTTTCTCATTAGGGACAGGTGGGAACTAGGTAAAGCTAATGACAAGTATATTGATTCTAATCAGTCTTTCTTTGTGTAGCAGGTGACTCACCTCAAAAATCAGCTACTGAGTGTCTGGTCTGTTGGAATTTCAGATATATGTACTATAATTGCACAGACATAAGGATGGCTAGAATTTGGGTATGGAGAGTTTGTTGCAACCTCAGAAGGGAAATGTGCAATGCTACAGACACTGTGTCACTTCCCCTGAGCTTCAGGGATACAGGAAGCGTCTTCTGAAGCAGCAAATGTGGATGTTCCCTCTTCAGATGCTTTGACTGAGGGGAAGTCCTGGAGCAGATTGATCCCAGGCAGACCTGGGCTCTGTAAATTATTTACACTTGGGCAGATAAATGTTTAGAATATGACAGACCCCTGTGTAAGAAGCAGCCACGAGAAATAATAATGACCAGTGGAGGGGAAATAAGGGTGTCAGTGCAATATGTCATCATTTTAAAAAGCTGGGAATAATTAGCATCTGTTTCCTATTGTGTGGCTGTGGGTTCACTTGTAGTGTCTGTGTGCACATTTGAAATGTCAACATTGGATCTAATCCCACAGTCCTATTTTGTTTGAAATCTATTGAACTTGAGTGCATTGTCTGCAAGAACAGCAGAATTTGGAACTTCTGTAGTATTTTACCTCACCTGGGTACCTTGGAGACCTTAAACCAATCTGCTTTTTTCCCCCTGAAGATCCAGGTATAGCATTTTTCTCCAAGTCTGTTCAGATGATTTCCTCTTTTACTGAGCTTTATTTCTGAGAGTGTCATGACTTGGGCTGAATAATTAAAAAGCAGAGTTTTACACAGGAAATGTTGGAAAAAACTGAGGCTTGGAACAGAGGTTTCTTTAACATATAAAGTGATTTATAATTGGTATTAATACAGTTTAGACCAAAGAAGTAGCTTGTTGCCTTCAGTGGTTGTCACTGTCAGCACACGTGCTGGTTTGTGAGATATTAATGCATGCGAGAAGCTGTGCTGGCAGAATTTGCATTTACTTAAGTGTGATCCCAATGTCTCTGTTTGTGTGAAGGAAGAGCTTGGGACAGTTGTAAACCCAGAGCAGCAATATAAACTACCCCAGTGCAACACTTTGTGTGGAGTTCCTATATCCAGTGCTTAAATAAGAGTGTTTACGTGAAAGATTTATGTTGCAGGCACATTATTTCACCTGGTAGCAGGGGTGAAGGATTAAAATAAGTTTGGCAACAAAGTTCTCCCTTTCCCTTTCCTTTTCACAGTCATACCTCCTGCCTCTGGTCTGTAATGGTGACTTGGTAAGGCAAATTTTAACAGTTGGTGTGGTAATACTTGGGTAAAAATCTGAAGATGTGAATACAGAAAAGATTCAGAGAGGAGCGAGTTCACATAGAAAATTCCATAGGTGATAGGTACAGTAGGGAGCTCCCAGCATGTTCACAAGTACTGAAGTTTTTCCCAAAGTTACCTGTTTGATTTTGGTATGTGGCACCCAGTAACTACAATGAGAAAAATGTACCTCGGGAACTTTGAAACAGACATAAGAATCTGCTGATTTAAAGCAATACAGTTTTAATTTTGCTATGATTGTTAAAATTAGTTTCTTCTAAGGGGACTTACTTCCCTTTTGAATGTGTGGGCTGGTTTGTGATATGCAATTGTGTCAGCAGAGCCCTCTTAACTCAGTGCATGTGGATCCTCCACTGAAAGGGCAAAGTAAAATGTGTTTAAAGCAAAGGATTTTTACAGTTAAGCTTTAAAGCTTGAATTTACAAGTGTATATGCAAATGTTGTATTCCATTAGATACAATTTAAGATTTTATAGGCTGTTTCCAGTGATGTGCAATTACTTTTCTTTGAAAGAAATAGTTACTGGTTTCTTGTATTTTACATTGTAGCATCTCTTTGCTAACTCTTGGATTTTTTTTTTTTTTTTTGGTTACTTTTCATGTCTTTCAAGTTGGCTTTGAGGATTATGGACCAGACTGTGATAGCATGAGGATTACAGCGTTCTTGGATATTCCTGGACAGGATAACTT